ACCCCAAGTATAGTGTCTCCAGCGAGACAGAATTACATTTTTTTTCCTGTCATGGAAAAGTTCCAGCTCCCTACTCTGCTACATCTGTACTGTAGCTCTTACCTCCTGGCCTAAGATGGCAGCTAGAACTCTGGGAGGAAAAGGTGGGCATCAACGTTTTAAGATTTCTGTTATTGTTGTTACATACTGTTGAGATGATATCAACTCACAGCTGTTTCTCCAGTGAGTTTTCAGATGCTATAAATCGCTGGGAGGAAAGTGCCCATTTTTTCTCCCTTGTAGCAGCTGGTGGATTCGAACTGAATGCCTCTGGATTGGCAGTTACCAGTAGGCCACCAGACCTCTCTAGGAGTTTCTATATAACCCTTGACTTCCATATGACTGACCATGAATCAGTTACATCGTCACACCCAGAGAGGCAGGAAAATGCAGGATTTCTTTTAGACAACTGTGAGGATCCCATTCCTTTTGGAGAAGGGGAAATGGATCTTAGGAGATAGAAGTCTAGGCCACAGTCGTAATGGGGCAGAACCAAGACAGAAGCCTGGGATTCAAACCCTCAGCCTGGTGTTTTCTCACCAGGAGCAAGGCAGAAATGAATTCATCTTCAAAGCCAAGGAGATGGAGAAATAACATTTGTTACGCAACTCAACTCATTTTCCTAGCCATACTCCCAGAATCATAGATCCTACTTTTGCAGATACGGAAGCTGTGGGAGGTTGTGTCATTTGTCCAAGGCCACCCAGCTAATAAGTGACAGACCCAGGTGTAGCTTCCCTCACTGCTCCTATTGCCAGCTCACTGGCAGGCTCTGTGGTTTAGGACTTGCCAGCTTGTCCCTCAAGACCACCTGGAAGCCCTTGAACGCAGTGTTCTTCACTCACATTATTATTATCAGGCCAGCCTTGGAGCTCTGACAGCCTCACAGGATACAAGGTCCTCGGTGGAATCAAAGCCCACCCAGCTGGCTAGCGCCAGGTCCCCTCTGGCATCTGTGTCTTGGCAATAGTGACAGCTGCCACTCCAGGACTTTGGCACAATCGGCAGGTGCCGCCCCCACCCCATCTTGTCTCTGCCTGGAAAGGCTGGTAGTGCCTCTCCTTGCCCGTCACCCCAGCCCCCGGTTCTCCTGGCAGCACCAGAGGACTCAGTGTCTGCGGAAGCAACATTTCTCTCTCCCACTCCCGGCCATGACATTGGATCACTTCCCAACCCAGAGCAACCAGTTCTGTGTGTCCTCCGTGTCCCCTCTGCACATGCCCACTCTCTGACCCAGGTCCCTGTGCACCCTGTGACCCTTCAGCTGGCTCCTTCGTAAACACCCTTCCCCCAGCTTCCCTACCCACCCACCCTGTGCAGCTCTGAGCAATGGGCCGCTCCACGAAGCCTGTCACATGTGAGGTCACCAGCAGCCTGCCAAGGAGGGAGAAGGGGTGACTCAGTTCCCGCTTGCTCATCCTGGGAAGGAGGGGGGTGGGGAGGGGCCCAGACACCATTCACTTTTGCATTCAGCTTCAATAAGAAGACTCAGCATTGCTGCCAGTTGGCCTACAATTTATTCCCTCTTCTTGGCAAGGCAGATGGCTAGGAAAAGCCATCCCATTAGAGGCAGGGACAATGAGGCCAAGGCAGTGCCTCTATGCAAAGCTGAGGGGCCGTCTCCAGGGGCTCTGGATGTTAGAAATGAGCAGCCTCTCCACCTTTCTCCTTGTTACAATTCTTGTCCTTGGAGAGATTCCAATCTGATGAGAGAGGCACAGGCCCTGGCCTCAAGGTCTCCCCAGTCTGATGGGCACCTCCCTAGCTACCGTGTATGGCTGAGGTAGTGGGCCCACCAGACCAGAATCCAATAGGCAACCATCTGAGGACCTTCTACACTATCCTAAAGGCCAGTGAGGAGGAAGCAGTGGGGTTGGCGTGAGGATAAGACCTAGGCTGCTCTGAGAGATGAGCGCCTCCTTCCACAGAAATCTGTTCCCCTGTGAGGGCTTGAGAAACAGGAGTGGGAGGTCAGAGGAGCAGGACCATGTGGTGAGTAGGGATCCTCAGGGAATCTGCAGACATTGCTTCAAGAGCAGCAGAGCTCGGTGCTCCTAGGCAGAGGCAGAAGGAGGGATCTCTTGTGAGGACAGGAGGGATGAGGAAGTACCTGGTCATAGCAAAAACAGCAGGGACCAGAGGATGGGTCCAAAGAATGAAGCCCTGGGAGGAAGTGTATTTGCCAGATCCTCGCCACAAAGAGTCACTGAAGACGCAGAGAAGGAGGGCTGAGCTGACTGCAGCGTGTGTGTGTGGGTGAAATGAAGTTATTAAAATGGACCGACCCCCTGCGCGGGTGGAACTCTGTGCCAGGTGGGCCTGGCCCTCCAGCTGTCCAAAGCATCTGGCTCTCTGCGGGAAGACAAGAGCAGGCGCGGATGGGTCAGAGTGTCCCCCTAGGTCCTGCTGACAGTTCAGCCAGGACAGACGGGGCAGGGGCCTGGACAACCAGCTCTGCTGCTGCTGCGTCTCCTCCTTTAGCGCCCATTGAACTGGGGCTGTGAATAGGAGAAAGTTCTAGATTCCAGCAGCCCCAAGCCTGGACCTCTTTGCACACCAAGCGTTTGTCCCCAGGATGAGCTGGAAAGAGTGGCATGGGGAGCGGGGCACAAGGGGGCATGTCCCGATGTCTTTTTGGAAGAGAAGCCCCCAGGAAGCATGGTGCAGGAGAGAGGTGCTGGAATAGGTGAGTGCAAGGCCCTGGCCCTTCCTGGGGCTCTTCCCATGGCGGGCCTGTCCGTGGGGGGCACTGTTGACAGTGAGGTGGTATCAATAGCCCTGCCTGCTCTGCAGTGTGTGAGGGGGAAACAGGTCCACACTGGAGCTGATGGTGGGACTGGTGAGGCCATCTCACCATCATGCCAGGACACTCCCCAATGTGGCTACTCCGCCAACAGGGACCCAAGAGACCTGAGTGCTTTCTGCCCAAAAGCGAGAACCCGGAATAGCCTGCATGGAGGGGACTTTGATCTTGGCAGAGGGGTTTCCCTCTTCCTCTCACTAATACCTGCAGGCCAGGGTCACCTGCTGGAGTCACGCTAGTTCAGGGAGGAACTGACTGGTCCCATGCTTCCTCCCATCCCCACCCCATCCTGCGGCTTCACAACCATGTGGTCAGACTGAAACGCAGTAGCCTGATCCTCAGAAGATTCCCTTCCCCAGGAGAGGCCTCGGGGAGGCACAGATGGAAATTACAAGTGTGAGAGGGATGTCGGCCTCCTTCCCTCCCTTCTGAGATAGAAAGGAAGGGTGTGGCCATGTGAGCGTGGCCCTAGGCCAGCAGCATCAGTATCCTCCTGGCACTTATCAGAAATGCAAATTCCTGGGCCCATTTCCAGACTGACTGCATCTCTGGGTGATGCTGATGCGGGCTCACACTGAGAACCACTGGACGAGGCGAAAGGGAGGCCTGGCCGTGGATGGATGCTCAACTGCTCACCGGAACCCACCAGCCCCTCTGCGAGAGAAAACACCGATTGCAGCCTTAAAACCCAGTGGGAAGATTCAGCTATACTCTATCCTATGGTGTCATCATGAGTCAGCAACCACTCTACAGCAGTGGGGTTTTTGAGACCAGGCAAGACTTTCATTTTATAGAGGAAGAAACTGAGCGAGGCTTTGAGAGAACAGACTTGCCCAAGGTCACAAAGGGAAATAATGACAGAGCTGGGCCACTCCCTGACCCCATCTTTGACCACTGCAAGACCTAACTAGTGGTAATTCCCAGAGGGCCACAGAGAGCCCCTGATTTGGCCCATTTCTCCTCCTCCTGCTTCCTCTTGGAGTTACTCCTACAGCTGTCCTGCAGTCTCAAACTCTGTTCCCTTGACTTTTTAGGGGTTGGTTCTGATAGCCAGGGAAGGGGGCTGCCGAGGAAGCCCAGGACCTTCAGAGAGCTCAGCTCTGATAGCTCTGACCTCTAGGAGCCGTTCTGCTGCCTGATGAGAATGTGTAGGAGGCCCCTCTCCCCTGACAACATGGACACTATTGCCCTGGGAAAGCTTTATTCCCTGCTCCAAGCACAAGATTCTGCAAACGGAACTCGACAATCAAGGCAATGTCACAAGACACTCCCCACCCCCCACCCCCAGACAGACACTACAAAACAGATCCAGCACCTTACCACAGGCCAGCTCACCCAGCCCCAAGCTGCTGGGGGCTTCACGGGGAGAGACGGGGCCTCCCCCCAGGTCTGGGGGAGCCCCTAATCTGAGGGGTGAGGCAGAATGCTGAGGGACAACTCACTGGGACAAGGGATCTCCTAGAGGAGCCAGCCGGGGGTCGGGCCGGGCCAGGACACATGGCACCCCACTGGCTTCCACCTGTGACCTCTGGTACAAGGAGGACTACAGTCGCCCTCTGTCTCAGCTCAAGGACTGGTGTCTCCTCAGCAAGAGGCTGGTGGGAGTGGGGAGCAATGGCAGGTAAGGGAGTTTTGGAGAGGGGTGACGTGGCTGGAGGCAGATGTTCCATGTGTCAAGACACCAAAGACCCCAAGGGTCACCACATCAGCCTCATGCTGTGCTAGTTAGGACAAGGGGCTTATGACCACCCCTGCAGGGGGCCAAGAGATCTTCCTGGCTCCCTCTCACCCCTGGCAACGAGGAATCCTGGCCTCAGCTGTTCCGAGTTGACCCTCTGGGTTCCACACTGGAGAGGTGCCCCTTCTCGTTGTTGTCCTTTCTCAGGATGCCAGGGACGGAGCCTGGAGCCTAGAGCCTGGAGCCCGAGTTCGTCTCCGTGACTCCCTGGACCTGCGCCTCCTAGAACCACTGTCTTCCTCAATCCATAAACTCCTGAAGGCTGTTTCTGTGCTCTGGGCGCTCCAGAACCTCAGGGTGGGACCAGCAGGTGGGACCCCTGCCCCACCACTTGAGACATGGTCCTGGTCCCAGCTGGCATCTCTCCTCCTTTCCACCCCTCTCCCTGCCCAGTACCCACTCAAATGGCCCCCTGCCTGGGCAGGCCCACCCTCTGGCCCTGGCCTGACCTCTGTGGCCTGCCCAGGGTCACCCGGAAGGGTAGTAGGGGGTGTCGCTGTGGTAATTGTAGTCTGGGCACACCTTCTGCACCAGCCGATAGTCCGTGCTGTAGAAGGCGATGTAGACGCAGACCACTTTGAAGGGCTGGGAGCAGCTCCAGGCAGCCGAGCTCTGGGCATGGTCCCGGGAGCAGGTCTTGGCTGGGTCGTGGGTGCAGAGCGAGGTCTGGCGGCCCCGTTCCACCTTCTCCCACTCCATCCGGCAGTTGAAGATCTTGGAAGCCTTGGCTTCAATGAAGATCTGCTGCTCCTGGTGGAACTCCACGGCCTTGCTGGGGGGCACCAGGCTGATGGAGATATTGCCCTGGCCTGTGGCATTGTGCCTGAAGAAGACGCTGAAGGTCCCGTTGCCGTGGTCCACGATCTTCCCCGTGACGAGCAGGTTCAGGGCCACTGTCTTGATGTTGGAGTAGAAGTCTCCCCAGCCAAAGATTTTCTTGACTTTGGCTGAGGGTGGAGGGCTATGTTTCGGGCGGTTGGGGGGCTGCCCGAGGACACCCCATGTCTCCCCAGGGGGAGCCAGCAGCCCTAGGAGGGTGGAGTTGGCCATAGGACGGGACTTGGGTGAGATGTGGCCTCGCTTCCGAGGCACCCGGGGCCGAGGCTGGCTCTCACGGTCATCGTGCTCAGGGTCCTCCGAGCCAGGGGGCCCATCCTCCTGGCCACAGATGACCTGTGGAAAGAGTCGGGCGGAGAGTGAGGGCCTTGTCCCTGGAGCACCCAGGCATATTCCCTCTCCCCATTGTCATCACTGTCGCTGTCCCTTACATTGAGGGTAAGTCATCTACTCGTGTACTTATCATTTCACACTCCCATCTCGTTCGCCTTCCCCCTCCTCCTTGCTCAAAGCCTATAAGGATAGCTAAGAATTCTGCCCAATGGAAGGCTGCACCAGAGGTACCTAGTTCCCAACCCCAGGGAGATTCTGTCTAACGGCGGAGGCCTGACTTCAGATTCTGGGAGAAACTTCATCTGACAGCAGAAACATTATCACTGAGCTGAGAAAGCCCCAATCTGACAAGGGAAGTAGAGTCCTTGCGTCTGTGAAATTCCCAGGCTGATGGAAGAGGCAGGGTGTCTGCCCTCAAGAAACCCCGAGTCTGACGGGAGAGCTCAGCCTTATCCCGGCAGAAGCCCTACTTTGACAGAAGAGGCTCAGCTACTTGGCACATCTCAGGATTCCTGGTCTGGAGGTGGAGTCACGACCCTACCCTGGGCTAGTTACAAACCCCGGATGCCAAGAGAATTCAGATAATGGAGCTAGAAAACCTAGTGAGATTATCTCTTGAACATAAATGCCACTTTGGTTTGGGCAGGAAGGCTGGGGGAACCTGGAGTCCATGCCTGGTGGCAGAGGCTAGCCAAACAGCACCCTGGGGAACACTGATGATGACATGCTGGGGCTTTACTTGCATTAAGAGGCAAGGCAGAGCGAGCTCTGGTGGCCTAGTGGCAAGAAGTTGCAGTGCGGGGAGCTCTGGTGGCCTAGTGGCAAGAAGCTGCACTGCAATCCCAGAGGAACACGGTTCGAATCCACCAGATGCTCTGCCAGAGAAGGAGGCGCAATATCCTCCTGTACCAGTCAGATCTGATTTGACGGTACACGCACACAAAATAATTTAAAAAAAAAAAAGAAGTTGCAGTGCAATCTCAGAGGTACACGCTTCAAATCCACCAGATGCTCTGCTGAAGAAGAAGGAGGAACAATCTCCTCCTGTATCAGCCAGATCTGATTTGACGGTACACACAAAAAAATAATGAAGTAAAAAAATAAATTAAAAAAAAAAGAGGCAAGGCAGGAGCTCCTGTGAGTCCCATTTTGCAGATGAAGACACCAGTGCTCAGAAGTTACATCACTATAAAGCTGGGGACCAAGGCAGCCCTCCCATTTCCCAACACATTTCCAGGTCACAGCAGCCCCTTTAAAGGTATTCTTAGTCTCATATATTTTGGGCAGGTTGTCAGGAGAGACTAGTCCTTGGAAAAAGGACATGCTTGGAAAGATAGAAGGTCAGAGAAAGAGAGGAAGCCTTTCCACAAGATGGACTGACAAAAAAAAAAAAAGATGGACTGACATGGTGACTGTACCAATGGGCTCAAGGACATCAAAGATGGTGAGGATGCCACCAGACAGCGCAGGGTTCAGATCTGTTGTTCATAAGGTCACTATGAGTCATAGATCACTTGGTGGCACCTAACAATAGCAAAAATCCAGGTCTCATCCCCATCCAGAATCTTCTGTGAAAATATTACAGAGGCTCCCCTGTCTCCTGTAGGGTCAACAGTAGCCTCACCCCATTCTTCTAGAACCTTCCAGTGAGTAGGAAAGACCCAGCTCAAACACCCCTGGCTCTCAGGAGGACATCAAGGAGTTGACAGGGTTCCCAAGGGCACTGGCCAATTGGCTGCTGGCTCAGCTTTTGAAAGTGGGTAATCACCCCATGTCTGTGCTGCCAGCAATAGGGGCTCTAGCCTTCCCGTGGGCAGTAGCTGGATCTGTGGGTCCCTTGGGATGAAGATGAGAGAACGCTTGATAGGCTGGGGTCTGAATGGCGCCAAAGGAGCTCTGAGTCCTCACCACCCTTGTTCTGCCTAGGCCTGCAGATGTATGTCACCTCTATGCCAGTCTCATTGAAGGTTGACCCTGGCGGCCAGGCCAAGGCGTGGGGTGCTGCAGGGGAACAGCCAGGAGGGGTGATACCTAGGGCTGGACTTGGCCTCCACACTGAGGTACATTTGGCCCTGGGAGTACCTGCTGCATGGCTTGGGGATAGAAAAAGACCAGTGGTGGGTTGTGAGAGTGAAGGTTCCTGAACTTGGAGTGAAAGCAAAGGGGAATGTTGCTTAGACAGAAGGTGCAGATGAGATGTAGGGCCAGGCGTTTTTCCATGACAGGAGTGTGTGTGTATGAGAGAGGCGCGGGCTCTCAGAGGAGAGTTAAGCCCTGAGATGGGGTCGCGGCTGGGATGCCGGGGCGTCCTGGCCGCCGGGAAGCCGGGAGCTTGCGCTCGGGGAACAGGCTCCGGGCGCTCCGCTCAGCTGCCGCGAGCGCCCGGGGCGGGAGCCGCCAGTCCGGGTCCTGTGGGGCTCGGGCGGCGCGCAGCCGGGAGAGGAGAGGAAAACAACAGGCGAGGAGGGAGGGAGCGGGAGGGAAGGCGGGAGCGAGGGACGCGGGGCCGCCCCCAGCCTGGACCAGCTCCACGCGCTGGGGGACCCAGAGCCGAGGCCCTCTGGGTCCACGAGGGCAGCTGAAGGCCCACGCCCCCCTGATCTGGTGGGTCACTAGCTTCACAACCCACCCGCGCGGCCGCGCGTCCCAGGCGCCGGTCAGGGACTGGGTAACCCTGGGCGACCTGGCTCCCAGCCTCTCCCCTAAAGCTGGTCGCGCCTCCAGGCCACCAACAGAGGAGTGGGTGGGCCAGCCTAGCACCCTCTCCCCGCCCCTATTAACCCTTCCGGTCCAGTCTCCGGCCTCGGACCCGCCCTCTCCCCGGCCTCCAGTCTCTCCCTCCAGCCTCAGGATGTTGGGGGAAAGGAGAAAGTTTCTGGGCACGGAAGCTTCCCGTGCTCTCCCCAATCCTCGGGGCCCGCGCCCCTGCGCCCGGCTCCCCGCAGACCACTCACCAGATAGAGGCTGCCCTGCACTAGGAACACGAAGCAGCAGCGAGTCAGTTGCATCTTCCTTCTCTGCTCTCGTCCCTTTTTCTCGCCTCTTTTCCTTTCGGGGTCCCAGGTCCCCTCTTCACCCCAGCTGCTTCAGGCGCGCCGTCCCATGCTCCGGGTACCCCGTGGCTTGCGGCCCTCCCCTTTGCCAATCGCCCAGGACCGACCCCGCCCCCTTCGGTCCAGCTGTGTTGCCACCGCCCCCCTGCCGGGGTCCAGCTGCGCACGGCGCTGCCCCCCGCCCGAAGTCCCAGGTGTGCGCCCCGAGCGCCTCCGAGGACCCCAGCTGCGCTGTGGCTCCGCCGCTCCTGATCTGCGCTCGTCGCCCGCCTCGGTTCCAGCTGCGCCGCTCTCGTCCAGATGTTCTGGGGACCCGCGCGCGCGCCCGTCTCCGGTGCTAATTCCCCAGGCCAGACGGCCCCTCCCGCCCCGTCGCGGCGCGCCCCCTGG